CCGGCTGGTCCAACCCTTTTGGAAAACAGTATGGATGATTTTCAAAAGATACTTTTTAAAAAATTAGAAAAGCAGATCAGAGATAGTACAATGGGTAAAACCATTTCCTTGCACATAGCCAGCCCAGATTCAATCCCTGACACTACATATGTTCCCCTGAGTACCACCAGGAGTAATCACTAAGCACAGAGTCAAGAGGATAACCTAAGCACTGCTGAGTGTGGCCAAAACTTCCCCTCCTAAATTAGACAAGTTATAGATTGGAAAAAAATATGCAAACCATATATCTGATTAGGGTCTGTAATTCAGATATATCTTAATAACAAAAAAGACAACTCAGTTTTAAAATGAGCACAGGTACGAATAGAAATTCTGTAAAATATATAAATGGTCGACAAGCAGACAGTGATTACAGTAATGAAAATCCAAACCACAATGACATCACACCCACAAGAATAGCTATGATAATTTTAGAACAAAAAATAATAAGTGTTGGTGAGGATACGACTAAAGTGGAATGCCCATATGTTGCTAGTGAGATTATAAAATGGTGTAGGAAAAATCTCAATAGTTAAAGTTCAAAATAGAGGAGCTGAAGCAATAGTATAGTGGGTATTGGGTAGTATGTTTGCCTTGTATGTGACTGACCCAGGTTCAATTCCTTATATGCCATATGCATGAGCCATGCCATGAGCACTTCCAGGAGTGATCACTGAGTGCAGAGTCAGGAGTAAGTCCTGAGCACCACCAGATGTGGACCAGAACATGTGAAAATAGTTCAACATAAATTTACCATATGACCCAGCAATTATACTCCTTGGTATAATCGACCCAAGAGAACTGAAACACATGCCCACTCAAAAACCTATACACGAATGTTAATAGCAGCCAAAAAGTAGAAACACACCAAGTGTGTATGCAACAATGAGTGGAAAAACAAAAATGTGGCATATACATGCAATCAATGAAACATTATCCAGCCACTGAAAAGAAATGAGATGCTGGGGCTGTAGCTCAGAGTTAGAGCATTTACATTGTATTGTGAAGTTCTGGGTTCAGGCCCTCACACAACAATTGAATTAAATTCAAATATGGATGAACCTTGAAATTATGCCAAGTGAAAGGCCACCTATTGCATAATTCCACTTAGATGAAAATCCACAGTAAGAAAGTCCATGGAAACAGAAAATAACTTTAGTGGTTGCCAAGAGACGAAGGGCAGGAACAGGGATTAACTGCAGAGAGAGAGGGAGAGAGAGAGAGAGAGAGGGAGAGAGAGAGATTCCATTGAGGTGACCAACATGTCTAAAATTGGATTTTAGTGAGGGTTGAAGTGCAGCTTATGCAAAGTCCTTGAAGTGATATTTAAAAGGGGTTCATTTTTAAAACTTGAATCACAGTGAGATACACAATTATAATGTTCATGATTGGGTTTCTGTCATATAAAGTTCCAACATCTATCCTTTCACCTGTGTACATTTCCCACCATAAATGTCCCCAGTTTCTTTCCCTATACCCCCACTCCTGGTCTGTTTCTTGCAGACACTTTCCTTTTCTCTCTCTCTCATTTTTGGCATTATGGTTTGCAATACAGATACTGAAAGTTTATCATGTATATACATTTACCTACTTTCCACACTCAGTTCTTTGCCAGAATGATCATTCCTAACTATTATTGTCATACTGGTCCCTTCTCTATCCTAACTGCCATTCATCCCCCCGCCCACCCCCACATAATTGTGGCACATTTTCAACTATGGACCAGTTCTCTTGGCCATGTTTATCCCAGCCTTGGATATTAGTCTCATACCATTTTTTAATATCTCACAAATGAGTGCAGTCATTCTATATCTCTCCTTCTCCTTCTGACTCATTTCAGTCAGCATGTCTATCCATTATAAGCAAATTTCATGACTTCATTTTTCCTAACTGCTGCATAGTATTCAATTGTAGAGATGTACCATAGTTTCTTTATTCAGTCATCTGCTCTCAGGCACTCTGGTTGTTTCCAAATTCTGGCTATTGTCAATAGTGCTGAAATAAACATAGATGTGCAGATAGCGTTTCTGCTGTGTGTTTTTCGGCCCCCAGAGTATATTCCCAAAAGTGGTATTGCTGGGTCAAATGGGAGTTCAATTTCTAATTTTTTGAGAAATGTCCATATAGTTTTCCAAAAAGTCTGGACCAGTCAGCATTTCCACAAAAAATGAATGAGCATCCCTTTCTCCCTGCACCTGTGCCAGCACTGTTGATCTTATTATTTTTGATGTTTATGCCAGTCTTTGTATTGTGATATGATATATCATTGTTGTTTTGATATGAATCTTCCTGATGAGTAGTAATGTCGAGCCTTTTTTTCATGTGCCTTTGGCCATTTGAATGTATTAAAGAAGTTTTTGTTAATTTCTTCCCCCCAATTTTGATGGGGTAGGTAGCTACATGTTAAAAAATGAACTTACACCATGCACAAAAGTCAGATCAAAATGGATTAAAGACCTCAACATCAGACCTGAATCCATAAGTTACATTGAGGAAAATGCAGGCAAAACCCTCCATGATATTGAAGCAAAAAAAATTCTTCAAAGATGAAACACAAGACCAAGCAAGTGGAAGCAAAGATAAACAAATGGGACTAAATTAAACTAAAGAGCTTCTGTACCTCAAAAGAAACAGTGACCAAGATACAAAGACAGCCTACAGAATGGGAAAAAATCGTTTAACCAATACTCATCTGATAAGGGGTTAATATCAAAGAGATATAAAGCACTGGTAGAACTTTACAAGATGAAATGGGTTCATTTTGTGGTATGCACATTTTATGTCAGTACACAAGGTCAAAAACACCCTGGAAAGCAGAGAAGGAAAAAGTGTTCATCTTTTTGAAAAATTTTTAGGGATCCTATAGAGCTCAATGTGTTGCTCTAGTTGTTGTTATTATCATGGCTACAGTAATGGTAGGAGCATTGTTTGGCCCTTTGGGGACAGGTAAACAATGATTTACGTCTTTTTAGAGGCAATTTTTAAATTTTTGTGGTTCTGGGGATCAAACCCAGGCCTTGCACATGCAAAACACGAGATATGCCAGTGAGCCATACCCCCAACTCATGTAAAGACCATTTAGGTCGTTTGTACTAAAAGTGAGGAAAAAAAAGTTACTAGAAGATGAATACAGGGACCAGAAAGACAGTACAATGAGTAAGAGATTTGTGTTGCATGTGGCTGGCCTGAGTTTGATCTTTGGCATCCCATAAGGTCCTTCAAACCCCACCAGGAGTAAGGCTTCCTGAGTGCAGAGCTAAGCTCTGAGCACTGACAGGTGTGCCCCCAAACTAAAAAAGCAAATGAATTAAAAGATCAATGTGGCTAGCTATAAATTGGGTAGCAAGAGAAATGAGCATTAAGGTATAATCCATGTCAAGATGCAGAGGTGACATAATTTGCTATAGATAACACTGAAATAAGGAATGGGGAAGAGCCTCAGCCCTTGCCTGCTTAAGGCTGAAATTACTATTGTCCCCGAAAACTACTGTCTACCTAGGCTGATAATGCCAGGGAGTGGATCAGCATTTTGGCACAGAGGAGGCAGAGTGAAATATGTTTTTCCAAAGGAAGCATTCACCAGGTGCTGCTCATCTGCCACTCCCGAAATGTCCCTCAACACTGGCTCAGCAGATATCGATCACAGTTTCCCTCTTAATTCACAGACTACTTAGGAAAGTACCAGTTATCATGTTCAGAAGAACACCTACCTTCATATCAGCCTTTTCTAGGTATGATCCTGCATGTGTGACCCAGACAGGTTTTGGAAAGAGTCTCCTATCCTATAAATTCTTTGCATAAGGGCTATAGCATGTGCTTATATATCTCAAATGACCTTGGGGGATGTTTAGTCTTATAGAAAGTGGCGATGTTGCCCAAACTGACAACAAGCAGAAAATAATTCTCAAGGGTGTTTCTTAAACAAGGGTTTGCCACTCTCTCCTCCTGACACACAGGTGCCAGAAACACTGTAGAGACACTGAGTGACAGGTGTGGATATTTTGCTGGCTTCCCAGGGTTGACAAGCAATGATAGAGAATTGCTTGTGCTTTCTGACACAGATACCAAAAACAAGGGGAAGTAAACAGCTCAGTGAGCACTTCTCAGAAATAAAGAAATAAGTGGTCGGAGCAATATAACAATAGATAGGGCACTTGCCTTGCATTCTGCTAATCCAGGTTCAATCCCCAGACCCCATATATTCCTCTTAACCCCACCAGGAGTGATTCCTGAGTGCAGAAGCAGGGGTAAACCTTGAGCACTTCCAGGTATGGCAAAAGAGAGAGAAATGAAAGAAATGAAAAGAGAGGAAGGAAGGAAGGAAGGAAGGAAGGAAGGAAGGAAGGAAGGAAGGAAGGAATTAAGTGAAGAAAGAAAGAAAGAAAGAAAGAAAGAAAGAAAGAAAGAAAGAAAGAAAGAAAGAAAGAAAGAAGAGCTGAAGCACTCAAAAGACATTTCCAGGCTCAATCAAGCCTATAAGCATCCCCCAGGTAGAAAGAAAAGTAAAGTAAAATTTCTTAACCATATGGGAATTATGGTTGTGAGAGCAGAAAAATTGGGGTGGATACTTTTGATGAGGTAAAATTTTTAAACCCACTTCTATGACAAAATCATTAGATAAACATCCTTTTCAATGATAAAAACCAAGTCATTTCTGGCCCCTTTCCTGGAAGAGCTCTTTGTGATTGTCAGGCTACAGCAACAGCAGTAAGAAGCCATTTTCTGGGCACAGAGCCCAGAACTCAAAGGGAGGTTCCAAAGAACATCTGGTCTGCTCGATATATGGAAGCCAGCACAGCATGTGTGTTTGTGTATATGTGTTTCTTCTCTGCTGACTCATGGTATTGAAGACTCTCTGAAAACACCCCACCCTTCTAGCCAGCCTGTTTACACACCCCTTGGGCTCCTCCCTGATTCAAATGTTAGGTCACGAGGAAGAAGAAAAAGGAATTCAAGAGCTTTCCTCAAGCATCTAGAATTCTCTGCATCATAACTCTTGATTAAGGAGACTAGCTTGCACTCTAACTCAATTCAATACAAGCTTCACTCTCCTCAACACAGCAAATTTATGTGAACTTTTGGATAAAACTGGAAGAAACAGTCCACGAGTACTGTGCAAGAGGCGGTGGGGGTGCTGACTACTCGTGGTACAAATTTATAGATGGCAGGCATGAGGCCCAGCATTCAAGCAGACCCTGAAATCGAGCTTTTTGTAAAGGTAAGTTTTCAGCTATAATATAGCAAACAGAATGTATTAGTTCTTGACACTGAATATGTTTCTAAAATGAATGCAATATTTGGATTAGAAGTAAGAAATTTTGTAATTATGTCTGACTCTTAGAATGATGATGAAGTGTTTGGCTACACTTAGATGATAATGGGAAAATATTCGTTTTGAAAAGAGCAAAGATATCAAGTGAAATGAACGCTAGGCTGGTTTGTAGTCAGGGAAACAATTTATGTTTTCTTAGTGGTTTTCTAGGCAAACTTGGATAAATCCCTACTCCCTTTAGAAACGGTTTCTCCATCTACACAATAAAGGAATCTGAAAAAGTGTTCCTTACAAGCATTCTTACTCTCAAAATTTTGTGTTTTAAGAGATATATTTTATAAAGCCTAAACATGAGAAGAGGGTCAAGAATGGCCTCAGACCTTATTCACACATAGCCCAGAAAGATCTTTATAAAATTCTTCCACAATAGACAAATATCACATCAGGGTCACATGGAGACTATAGGGAGAACAGTCAGGAGTCTGTGTCTATTATGAGAAAAAGAGAGCTTTGGCTTACTATTTATGGTCTGCCTTGGTTTTATTTTCTATTTTTCAAATTTTCAGAAAACCCCTTGAAAAGCCAGTAAGCAGGAGAAATGAACACATGTTTCTAAAGTAGTCTATTAAGAAAAATAGATAAGTTTGCATTGGTTATACCAGGTGGAAATTACAAAGTTTCTAAAGCCCTTTCTCATATTAACTGCATTTTCATTTTCTAATGGGGGCAATCAGGATGATAAGTATATCAAACTCATAACACCTTGACCCTTTTAAAAACACTTTATTTCTGTTATGATCTCATTTATTCCTAACGCCTTAGGGTATTGTTTTGTAGTAATACTGATGATGGTATTGGTGGTGTTGGTATTAGCAGTTAGTAGGACTAATCATTTTATTTATACTTTAATTACTAGACATGTACACTAGGCAGTACATTTTAAGTAGATTGTCTCTAAAATTATATGGCCTCTTACTGGCTTACAAAGACATTAAATAAGGTATGTTTATCAAATTCTATGGTAAATATACACTACCCTAAGTAAAAAGTTTTTAAGATGGAAGATTGGAACCACAACTGATGGTGTTCAGGCCTTACTCCTAGTTTGGTTCTCAGAGATTACTCCAGGCGATTCTCAGGGGACCATAAAAAATGATGGAAATTAACCAGGGCTCAATAGCATTCAAAGCAAACATCTTAACTCCTGTACTATTTCTATGGTTCTGAAAGTAAAAACTTTTACAATTATTTAAAACTGGGGGCCAGAGCAATAGTACAGTGGGTAGGGTATTTTCCTTGCTTGCACGCAGTTAAACTGGGTTCAATCCTCACTATACCATATGGTTCCCCAAGCACTGCCAGGAGTAATTCCTTGGTACAGAGCCAGGAGTAAGACTTGAGTACCGCCGGGTATGGTTCCAAGACACACACATTTATGTATAATTTTATTTCTTTATATGTATATGTATGAATAAATAAAATAATTTAGCAGTTGGTGTGTTACATAAATATACACACAAAACAAAGAATTCATCTACATGCCTTTTCAAAATCATAGAAGAAACTCTTAACTTTTAGGAGATTTTAAAATTCCTGCATAGCAAACTAATCCAAATAAGTGTTTGTTGGACTATGAGGCACAAGAGCTACTTCTCCTATCTATGAATTCCAGCAAAACATGTGACTGCTCAGACAGAACATAAAAAGACTTAATTTTCTTTCTGTTTTGCAAGGGTTGGGGGAGAGAGAATTAAACTCCTAAGCAGTGTTCAGGTGACCTAAGGGCCATTCCTGCTGATACTCAGCCAACTAGACCTAACAACTTAATGCTAGGACCCAGTGACTCAGTATTGCTGTAATCTAGTAGTGCTGAGGAGCACCAGGGTCCCTCCTAGAGATGTCTGGGAGGATGCGTGACCATGCTGTACCAGAAGTCAAGTTCTTATGTATGCTAGGCATGTACTCCTGAGCCTTGAGTTATCTTCCAAGACCTTACTTTTCTAAATTAATTTTCTTTTTTATCTTCTAATTCCAAACCAGAGGTAATGTTTTTAATAGGATAAAGCATTCTGAGTTTTTCTAAAGTGTCAATTCAATCCAACCATACCCTTCTACCAGTTATTGGCATTAATCTGTGTGTTTGTCTTCATAAACTACTCATATTTGGGTGATAAGATAGACAGGATAAGTTAGTAAATCACATGTTAGGTGAACAAATGTTAAATAATATTTTTTAGGTTAAAGCAACTTGTAATTTATTTAGCACTTACTATAGGCCAGGCACTGTGCTAATTGTATACTACTAGAGTATTACTAATCCTATTTTATGAATTAAAAAAGCTAAAGAGAAGATGAGTAACTTTGTCCTAGTTCATATATCTGGTAGAAGGCAAAATTGGAATTTCAATCTCTGAAAATAGCTACATCTTATTTTATTCATTTGTTTTTAATTTAGTAAATATTTTAGCAAAATTTTCCAGACTTTTATCAGATAAAATACTTTGGACATAAATTTATCTAATAATGTTATATAAATTACAGATTTTCTGAAAGAACCTTGAATATCGGAGCCTGGAGCAATAGCACAGCGGGTAGGGTGTTTGCCTTGCATGCAGCCAACCCAGGTTCGATTCCCAACATCCCATATAGTCCCTCGAACACCGCCAGGAGTAATTCCTGAGTGCAGAGCCAGGAGTAACCTCTGTGCATCGCCAGGTGTGACCCAAAAAGAAAAAGAAAGAACCTTTAATGTCATCAGGGTTTTGGTTTTACTTTGCATTTTTTAATTGTAGTGGAGGTAACTTGGTTATAGTAGGGTTTATACTTATGTTTTATACAAAATTACTGACCCTCTATCACCACCATCAAAGTCACTTCTAAAACATGTTCTTGATGATTTCTAGATATTTCACAGAAAATACTGGGAAAGTTCATAGGAATTGAGAGGTTAATGAATAAGTTATCTAGCCCTTCTCTTTACAAGTTACACTTCATTTATAGGTAATACAATCTCTTTCTAAAGATCAAATGAGTCTATAATTTCCCTATGTATCCCTGTCTTTGGCTGGAAACCCCTACTACTTTCTTTCCCATACCATTGACAGAAATGCAACATGAGATTAAGACTCTATCTCAGAATCAGGCAGATAGCTCAAGTGGTAGAATACATGCTTAGTATGTGGAGAATCCTTAAGTTCAATTCCTGTCCTCACATTTCCCCCTGAGCACTACTGGGTGTGTCCCCTATCAAGAAAAAAGACAGATGTTATGTCATATAGTCTATTTTTTCCATGTAGTTAGTGAAAATATTGCCTTTCAGTTCTGAAGATGTGAGCGAAAGTTTAAACTAAAAACAAAGGATTATCAAATATACATTTTATTTTAATGCAGCTTATCATACTGATTTGTTGTTCATTGGTTAATAAAATTGTGTTCTATATAACTATCTAAAATGAAAATCTGGCAATTTATACATAATATTGCAGATTCTAACATTTGGTTCAAAATTTTGAATGCAATATTTTTGTCAACAACATGTGGGAAAGAGAAAAAAGATACTTTTCTCTCAGTTTTCAAGTCAATTTTAAACTATAACTCTCATAAAAATAGAATAAAGATTGGTTAGAATGCAAAATAACAGCTATAATATGGAAGAGAGTATTGTAAAAGAGTGTTGGTACTGAAATAGACCCTCTGAATGTTTAAGTGAGAGTAATGTATATATTATCAGTTGTGGACTAGTTGAGTGTACTTAAGCAAACCAGCTTCTCAGAACCTCAGTTTCATCATCTGTAAGGCAGAAGTAATGACACAACTTACTTCACAGGATCATCCTCATTTTAACAAGTAGAATAAATATACAAAATACAATAGTTGCTAACATATTAAGCATTTAATAACTATGATATTTTGCTTATTTTCCAAATATGTAGAAGCTTAGATCACAAACAAAAAGAGAAAATTGTATGGGGGAGGGGCTGGAGCAATAGCACAGAGGGTAGGACGTTTGCCTTACACGCTGCCGACCGAGCCAACCTGGATTCAATTCATATTCCCCTCGCGGAGAGCCCGCCAAACTACTGAGAGTATCTCGCCAGCAGGGCAAAGCCACAAGTCTCACAATGGAGACGTTACTGGGCCCACTTGAGCAAACCGATGAATGGGAGGACAGTGCAGTGCAGTGCAGTATTTGGGGGATTTAACATATCTTGTTTTTGTCAGCTAAACCTACATATGATGTAATTCAGCAGTCAGACTAGGGAATTTACATCCTAAATTTTTTTGTGATGACATTTTAAATCAACATACTATAAACAGGAAAATAACTTTGGTTTTCCTGTAAAAAAAACTTACTGCATTTCCCCCAGCTTCATTGTTTTGCCTTTCCTTTAGCAAAAGTAATCCACCCTTCCTGCTGTATGTATTATCAGACTCCACTCTTCTTCCTGCATCCCACCCTAATCAAATTTCCACTCACTAACCTCAGTTGTGATTGGATCCTTACTTTGACTTTTTTTCTAAGTAAAAATGGGTTTTATTTAGAAATTTTGAAGAAGAGGAGGGAAAAAAAAAGAATAACATGCTCAAGAGAGAACACAGGCTTCTTCGAAGGTGGAGAGAACCCCAATACACACCCCAGAATTAAAGTGTGAAAGCACACATCTCGCGCACCAGATGCATAACTCTGACTTTTTTTTGCTATCCCCCCTCCCCCATCCCCCTTTTTATTGATTCAGTGTGAGGTACAGTAACAGAGCTTTCATGTTTGAGCTTCGATCATGCAATCATCAAACACCCATCCCTTCACCAGTGCACATTTTCCACCACCAAAGTCCCCAGTATCCCCCCACCACCATCATTCCACACCTCCCCCTGCCTTATGGTGGACAATTTGCACAGTACTCTCTTTCTTTACTTGGGTTGCCTTTGATATTTGAGCCCAGTCC